CTCTCTCTCTCTCTCTCTCTCTCTCTCTCTCTCTCTCTCTCTCTCTCTCTCTCTCTCTCTCTCTCTCCTCTCTCTCTCTCTCTCACTCTCTCACTCCTCGACGATCGCGACAGCATCGACACCAATGACTTCCAAGCGTTTCCACGCGCGCACACGTCCGCCTGTCCTTTTTCCTCGCCCTGTCTTTCTCTCTCTCTCTCTCGCGCCTTCGGTCGTTCGCCGGCTCGTTACCGCCGGGCGTGTGCACGGCCGCCCCGAAACGTCCGCGGATCTTCGATCTCGGCGGCTCGGAAGTTTGATGGCGCTGGTCGGGTCGCGGAGCACGCGATAATCGAGCATCTCCGTCGGGACGGACGAGCGAGCGAGCGAGCGAGCGAGCGGCCGTCCCCGACGACGAGAGCGGCACGGCTTTCGGCAAGGAGAATCGCAACCCCCCGGGTTCGCGGACCTGCGGATATGCGGATTCAGCAGTAAATTGCGGCAATTCTGAATCCGCGAGAACGCGCAGTAAAACCTTTATAGCTCCTACAGCATCATTCTTGGCGATTAAAGCTGCAGCTCAATCCCTCATTTGCATTTCTGCAAACATCGACATTTACACTGCCGAATAAAATTGAGTGAATCGACCGCGTTTGAAGAATTTGTAAGAATCGTGTCGCATAATTGTTGTAAGAAAAAATGCAGATCACTCGATCCAGAGTTGCCATTTTTGCCAGGATTTTGCACATTTTTCATTCAAATTGTCCGAAACAATATTTAAGAGCAAGTTTTTTGTTTTCCTTATTGATTTCTAATATCATTTCTTACGCAATATTTATTATAAATCCTTCTTCATGTCTTGAAGAAAATGACAACTGTCGGACAAAGTCGGTTGTAGGAACGGTCTCCGTCACTTTTCTTCCAGTGCTACAACCGCTTTTGCCGCGCGTGTAATTGAGGACATTCAGTAATACAAACCGCAATGCATGACGCGTTATAATTTCAGCACATATTGACTGTTTTAACAGCATTCGGTAAACGTTAGATCGAGTTGCTTGTAATTGGTACGAAATTGTCGAATATCAATTTTATCACATCGTAATTGTGATCGATTTGTAACAATAAGGATTGTTGAATTGTCACATGTTAATTTTTACCCTTAATAATTTATCGATTATACGTAGAATAGAATATTATATGACGTAATTAATATGCAATACGCATTCTAGCGAGACGGAACTACGTGCAAATGTTTGTTGTTTCGCATACTTGCACATATATTCAGTCATTCAGATATCATTTTCGCGTTTAACGCTTATTCTTCGTTACATTTTTTAATTTTAAAATTATAATTTGCAAGCGCACGAGAAGCAAGATCAAAGCGGACAAGATTCGTAACGATAATATAGTCAAGCAAAAAGAGAAAGGTCATACTTTAATATTCATCTGCATTCGCACGAATATTAACTACACAACCCTGTAACCGAAAATATAAAAATGCCTCGGGGGTTGTTGCTTGAAATTTATAAAAATCAATATATTAACTAGCCGCTATAGATATACAAGGCTTATACGGAAAAGATAGCTCTGAATCACAACGCATATATCATGTTAATTAATAATTATGCAAATAAAGTCAAGTTAATGCATGTTAAATAAATGCAAACCCTACACAAGTCACCGATATGTTTTGATAAAAAAAGTTTCATGACATTTAAAAGGGACTGAAAATTAACAAACTGCTTAACGTTATAAAAACTGGATAGACGTTTCGTAATTGCGAACGCACGGAGAGCGATCGATGCCTCGCGGAAGGCACGTTACACAGCAAATCAAATTCGAAGCGGGGGCTTCGAACACAAACGGGGGACTCGTCGATTGCAATGAAATTACCGCGGCAATGAGCCGCGTCTTCGTGTATCCGTACGAAACGACGTTCGACTCTCGGCGGAATACTGTCGGTGGAATTTCGGCGTCGCCGCCCGGATTCGAAGAGCGGAAGGATGCGGAAAAAGGAGAGACCGCGGGGCGATCGGGCGAGAAGAGAAGGGGGG